ATGACCAATTCTCTAATCGACTTGCATTGTTGCTTTTAGGATCTATGAGTTCCAGGATGGTGGAATGGCATTCACCACTGTGGAAGACATGCTGCGTGCAATGGGTGATGAGCTTCTCAACATGACGCACTCTTCTTTGAAGGATGTTTTGCTAGACATTGGAGTGTCTGAGAAGTTCATTGATGAGCTGGCTCAGGGGGTCATGAGAAATAACTATGGACAGTCCACAGGTGTACATGGTTTGGTGGGTAAGTATTTACTGAGGATAGCCCATTAGCATTCAAGGCTAAGAGAGACACTGACCAGTCATGGCTTAGTGAATAATTTTGTTTTGTTACCGGTATATTTTTTGTTTAAAAAGAAGTAAATGTTTTGAATTTAATTAACAGGTGCTGTTTCTTTAATTGGTGCTGAGCCAGGTTTGTGGTCAGTAGAAAATGGCAACAAGGAAATCTCTGAAGCATTACTGCGGGAGTCAAAAGCAAATTTTATTGAAGCCAATGTGAAGACTGTCACTTTGTACAAAGATGAGCTGGGCACTGGTAGCATATCCTACGAAGTAGATTATGAAAATCAGAATGAGAAATCTGAAAGTACTGGAACCAGAGAGTACGACATTGTCATCCTTGCAGCGCCTCTGGAAGGAACTAAGTTTAAGATAGCTTTCGCAGACTTTCCTGGCCCAATGCCACCATTTTCACAGAAGTTCCACACCACCGTGGCCATGTTTGTTCTAGGTAAAGTAAATACGACAACATTTCATCTGGACAATCCAGACAACTTTCCTGCTGACCTTTTCACTACACAGCCTGACAATTTCTTCAACTCATTAGGCAAACTGTCCCCAGTCGACACTGCCCAACCTGAGCATGCCTATGAGCCGGGACAGGCTGTGTGGAAAACATTCCTGAACAAAAACCCAAACCAAGAAGAAATAAGTAGTTTGTTTGAAAGCCGTGAAGATTTGAGACTTGTGGATTGGCTGGCCTACCCTGAGTATGCACCCAATATGAAGCTGCCTCCATTTCAGCTGTATGATAGGCTTTACTATATCAATGCCATTGAGTCTGCTGCTTCTGCAATGGAGATGGCAGTAATAGGCTCCAGAAATGTAGCCTTGCTGGCATACAACCAGTGGTTTGGCCATTTTGATAAGATTGATGAAATCCATCTACAAACTCCATCGGCAGACAATAAGAATTCTGAATTGTAACCATAGTCCTCGTGTAGTTAACATATTTTATATTTTAATTTTTGGCTTCAGTTATTGTTGTTTGTTGTTCAAAATGTTTTTATTATAATAATTGCTGAAATTTTCTTGATAACAGAAACTTGCATGAAATGTTTTGATGATGTGATAACTAAATGAATCTTTTTTTTTTTTTTATATACACATTAGTTATCTCCCTTACTTTTATTCTGGCATTACTGAAAGTTTGTATGAAATGATGAATTGGGCTAAGTCTCGTCTGATAATGGAAGAAGCAGTTGCTTGGTTCATGTTGAATGTGTCCCAAACTTTACAAATTATTTTTTTATACTTTATGTGTTTCTAAAGTTACGATTTAACTAAACCATCACGTCAGTGTTTCTGAATTTATTGTTTTAGTGATCTTTATTTTTTGAGATGTCACATTTGACATATGCCTGCAGTATTCAATGACATATGGAGCTCATGCTTTTTGCACACAATATCTTAGTAGTTGTGCTGTTTATTTGAGAGTTGAAGTATTTGCATACCTGTAGTATTGTGATTTCTCATTCAGATCACACATGGCATTAACTTCATTTCCATTCAGATTCAGTCCAAGAAAAAGAAGTCCAAATGTTAAAATAAATGTGAAATCTCAATGATCGCTGATCAACCATCTCTCTATCTTTTGTTTATAGTATTTCAAAAAGAATTTCCCAGAAGCCTTGTGACTCTTGATTCCCCTTTTTGAATATTCTTTTATGCCTGCCAAATGAACTTATTTACAAAAGAACTGAACAAGGTTTTGACTTTAAAAAACTCCAAAAAAATTTTTTTATCTGCTTTGTTCAAAACCTAGCATGACATTAATATCATCAAACTAAACAGTGGTCTTATGTTAGTTGCAATAACCACACATTCTGTCAGCGCTTGGAATTTCATCTAACATTATTAAAATTATTGTTAAGTGGCCTAGCATTTCAAAGGAATAGTCGTTACAAAGAAATATTTAACTCGAGGCATTTTTTTTTTTCTGTCTTTATAATCTGGGTTTATAATGATGTTGAATTGTCGTTACAAAGAAATATTTAACTCTAGATATTTTTTTTGTTTTTTCTGTCTTCATAATCTGGGTTTATAATGATGTTATTATTATGATGACATTGGCTTAATTAAAAGCACAATCTTCTTTTGAAAAGTTCAGAAAATGTTTAGCTTCTGCTGTACTTTATTCTTTAGGCAGTTTTATTCTTTAGTAGTCAAATTCTGTTAAGTGGGAGTTTATTTGTGTGTAATTGATGCACATAATGATATAGGCTTTTAATATATATATATCCTAATCCATTATTTAAATTTTAAAATCAAATTAAAGTGCCCCCCCCCCCCACCCACCCTCTCTCTCTCTCCTCCTAATGCTTGGCAAATCTCTAGATCACCATTTAGTTTGGGGTTATAAACCCTATACATGACCAATGTTCCTTCAAAGAAAATAATTATGTCCTACACGTGCATGTTTCAGTCTAGTTAGGCATATTAATAAGAGACTTGAACTCTGCTAAGTCATTGGTTTTCCTGACTGATTCAAGCAACCCACTCCATGCTCCAACTAGGAAACAAGCAAAATATAACAAATCTGTTGTTAATTGACTAATTGGTTAATTTTTTTTACTGATTCATGTTTTGATAGTTACAATAAATAATTGTTTAAAATTTCAACTTGCTTCGAGAATGGGTGTGGGAGAAATAATGTGAACAATAATATAAGGGGACCAAACCCTACATAGTTAGCCATATCTGTGAATATTGAAGGGCTAATTTCCTTTGTTAGTATCAAACAGACCAGACAGACAGTGTTAGTTGATATTAGCTTTGTAAAAAAGGATCACTTGTATGAATTTGTCATCGTGTAGAATAAGAAATGTGCCTTTATCTTTTTTTTTTTTTATTGAGAAGTAAAGGTAAAGATTGGTGCAAAGCTACTAAAGGTTTCAATTTTTATCACTAGTCCTTTTTTTTTCTTTTGTTACATATTTTATCAGAAATGAATTTGAGTGGCATGGAATTGACATCATTTTGCATGTTCAGAAAATGTTTTACAGGAATTATAGTGGGAAGCGTGGTCGAGAGGCCCAGTGCGCTTGAACTTGGCTTGGCTTCCTAGAAGAGGGGCTCGAGGTTCGTCACCCGACTCGGGCAGAGTTGTGTTCACTGAGCGCCTAAGGCAGCACGGAAAACCAACTCCTAGATACCCCCTCCCCCCCACCGGTCCGCAAATGAGATTGGACCAAAAGCGCTCTGAGCATGCTATAAGCATGAAAGTAGTGCTATATAAAAGCTATAATTTTAAATTAGCTATAATAATTATCTAAATGAAATATATCAAAGCCAAAGTAGCCATCTGTCATTTTTAGGTAGTTGTGGTTTTATTGACCTTTTTTTCTGCTGATCTATGTTCAAAGTCTTGGTTTGGAGGGAATAAAAAAAAAGAATTTGAAAAGGGGGATTGTGAGGACTTACTATTTTCAACTTTTTTTATCTTCTGGTTTTGTTTTGAAGTTCAAAGCCATGGGATTTGTTTGTTTTTACTTTTTTTGTTTGGCTCATAAATTGATGTGCCTTAATGAAGGAGTTATGTCCTCCTCGCTTGTTGGTGTTATTTCCCCTTATACAAGTCTACCAGTTACGGTCTAGACTTTGGAACTATTATAAACAATTCCTTTAAGCTTTAAAATATCTGTGCGTGAAGATAACTGGGCAAATTTTTTTTTTACTTAGACCAAATCCTTTTCATTCTAATTTCTGAATAGCTGAGAGCATAGAGCTGGCCTGCTGTTTTGTTTTTTTTTATTTCATAGAATTAATGACATGTTTTTCCTCATGGTAAGCGCTGTGACAGACACATTTCTTTGTACAAGATCACCTTGCACCTGTCTGCTTTAACTATTCTACGGTTTGGTTTTTCTTCTTCTCCTTCTTCTAGCCAGCTTTATTGCTGCTGAGCTGCGAGCTCTTTTGCAGACTGTGCCAAGGAAAAAAAGTGTGCTGTTTTCATCAGTTGTTCAGCACTGACATACAGGTCGTACGATTTGGTTAAGCAGTCCAGGACTGTTCTGAAAAGCGCAGCCAAACTACATATTTATAGAATTGATTTTAAAACTTACTTTTGATTTGCATCAAAAGCTTGACAACTTTGAATATAACAGATTTTTGTAAGGATATGAACTGAAAAATAATGCATTCTTCACAAGTGGGTCACATCCTTGATACAGCCTAGCTAGGTAAAGTAAATAAAGTTTCCCTTTCAAACCTTGCAACCCCAACCCTTGCATTTCTTTGGCCAACTGTTAACGAGCAGGGTGTCATGTGGCCAACCGCTTTAACTTTCCCCAACTCAAGTCAGGTACCCATTAGAGTTTGGTGGACAATCCTAAAATTCAAAATCCCAGTTTTCACTGAGATTCGAATCCAAATCCCCAGGTTCAGAAGCCAAGCAAGTGCTTAGCCACACAACTACAGCATGTACTGAGCCCTAGCCAGTATATATACGTTATTTAAGATTTGTGCTTGACGCTTATTCAAATGCAATAACTATAGACACCTCAAAAATGATGTTAGATTCACATTCATGCATTTAGTAAAAATCCATAATTAAGATTTAGATAATAATGGTTGTGGTACATTAAAAATTACTTACCTTATGATCCAATGGAAATACAGTTTGTCTATATATAAAGAAATTATTTTGCTGAAAAGTCTAAAACTTGTCACTGTCTTGATTAAGAAATGATGTATGACTTTCCATTGGTACTTTTTTTTTTTTTTTTAACCTTCATCTATTAGTCACAGCACAATTCCTGATGTCATGTGGCTCATGAAAGTGTCTGTCAGTTTGAATGAGACTTTATTTTGTTGCATTTGGCAATAAAATGTGTTCATTATGTTCAAAAGTAAGTCCATAGATGTTCATAGGACATTAAATCTGTTACTCTAGTCATTCAGGTCTCTATTCCATTCAGTCCACTATGGTTTTATTACTATACTATTGTGGGCACGACATGGCTTGTATTGTGCGGATGTGCCAAAATATCAAATATTAACTGAAAAAGTGGTCTACCCTTATCTGGTATGTTCATCATTCATTTCTGACAATAGTTCCATCCTAGTTGTTTTTGCCAAACACATGAACATCAATAACAAATGCTCTGTGAGGCCTAATAACAATCCTGTATAAATCCACCAAGTTGCTGAGAGTCAAATAGTTCTGTATGTTCTTTTGACCAGGGTTAAATGTTTTATCGCACATAAATCTCATGCCATTTTGTTAAAATAAAAGAAAGTATTAAGTTATGAAATATTAAATGTATATATTTTTTTTAATTTTCTATAGGTGTTGGTTTTTTGTTTTTTTGCCAGATTGCAAATGTAATTATTTTGTCAATTTATGTTGGTCATATTTATTTTCCTACATTACTTGTTAGTCATTTGTTTCCCTGCATATTAAAATTGGAAAGGTCTCTTTTAAAAAACAAAATAATTAAAATACAAAGAATAAATACATTTAGCTTTTGAGTTTTTTTGGTCTGTGCAATTAGTTGAAGCTGTGTCATAGACTAGACACTACTGAGACTACAGCCACCATTTGGTAAATAAAATGTCTGACTGCAAACCTCATTTTAAATGTAATGCTTTATATATTGTTTTGTAGAAAGGATGGCCTGAAGAAACCAGTTTCTGATTCAGCTGTCCTTTGATATGGGTGCTGTGACACTTTAACCAAATCCTTCCATTTTTTTCAATCAGCAGCTGTTCTTAGTAAATATTGGTCATATTATGGGAAGTGTGGTCGAGAGCTTGTCTTGTCTTGGCTACCTAGAAGGAAGTTCGAGGTTTGACACCTGACTCGGGCAGAGTTGCGTTTACTGAGCATGCTATAAGCATGAAAGTAGCGCTATATAAAAGCTATAATAATGTCAATAGAGAGGCTGGTCCATTCTTTTACAATATCCAGTCAGCTTTTCTTTTAATGGATGACCCTTTCTTTATGCTCCCTCCACTGTACCTTAAAGAATGACTTTTGATAGTGAGTCAAGTCTTACAATAGGACCAAACCAGCTCAGCTTTCCTCTCTTCACATTATTGAGGAGTTATTTCTTTTTTTCAGCCAGTGTGTCAACCTCTGATTACCAAGAGTGAAAAAAAAACTTGTCATCACCATCCCACACCCCAAAGGGAAATGCTGAGTCCCACACAACTGTGCTGATTAATAAGCAAGTAGTGAGAATAAAACATTTCTTAGTAGTCTCTTCATGTGAATCTTGGGTAAATATTTGGAATTGATGTTAGCCTTTATAGTTCTTCTATTTGAAGCTTTAATAACTTGAATAATAACATCACAGGACTGCTGTCAATTACAAGTGCCAGCAAGCCACAGATATAAAGAACTAATCTCTTGTACTATTACAAAGTTTTAAAAAAAAAAAAAAAGTGATCTATGGGGCAGATGAAGTAAAGGTCATCTGTTTCTGTGGCTCACCATTAACTAGGGTCTCGTGTGGCCAGCATTACTGTTGTCATTATGGTCAAATGTTTTTGAAATGAGTTGTGCAGTATAAAACCATGTAAGTCATTGGCTTAGAAGGGAGACAACAGAACTGCTGTCACTAGAGACAGAAAACTGGAAATAAATCAGAATCAATTCACTGCTTCATTAGATGTATACTTTTATAAATGTAGTTTATTTATTTAGATCAATATTCAATCAATAAATGTATAAAGGTCAAGGTAAATTTATTTGCACTGAAGATACCCGAACCAGAAATTAAAAAAAAATTATAATTACAATCATAGAATATGAACTAAAAAATTCTTGGTCAAAGTAGAGACTATTTCATTAAAGAGATTGCTTCAACCTGCAGGTCATTTACAGTCATATATGAGCCTGCAGGTCTGTTTGTATATCTGTACAACAGCAAAGATAGAATAGCTTTTTTAGTTTTTATTACTCCTCAATCCTATTCTATACAATACACTTTAAGTCATCGTAACAAAAGAAAACAAGGGCTAAAAATTTGTTTTTTGATTCCCAGTAGCTGAAGCATTACAACTCTACTCATTATATGTAGGGGAAAAACTGAATGATGAAAGGTGACCCATACATGGGAAAGGCTTCAACCTTGAAGAAAATTAAAGAGCCACACCCTAGCAGAAGTAGCGACATCACCGATTGCAAACTATCAACTATTGCCATTCCTTTGAACATTTCAGCTGCATGGAGGAAGGGGGGGGGGGGGAAGCTGGTGGGCCACAATGTTCCAACCAAAGCTAATGCCCAGGCTTTCACCTCACTGAGATGAACTATAGTCTTTCCAAGACTGAAGGGTGCCAACAGGTGGAGACTAAACTAAAAACAATATTTTTTAATTTAACAAAAATGTTGTAACTGAAGCAGTAGTTTCTTTTCTGATTTGAAATGTTTGAGACATATACAATGCATTTGTTTTAGTAAAATAGTTTCCAATTTCATTAATAATTTAGTATTTTGTTTTATTAATCATTATCATTATCAACAGTCCCTTGACTTGCATCATAGATTATGTGCTGTGACCATTTAAGTAAATCCCTCCTTTCTTCCAGGTCAGTTCTTGCTCCCTCCACTGTACCTTGAAGGATGATTTTGGACAGTGAGTCAAGTATTACAACATGACCAAATCAGTTACTGGTATATTAAAAATATGGATAGGATAAACTGAAACTGACAAAATTTTATCAAAAAGACCTTTAGGAAGCAACGTCTGGGATCTTCACACATCAGTTTGAAGTTTTTTATGCATATTTTATATACCGTATTTGCAACTCAAAGGAAATTCATTTCAACCTCTTGGGTGACAAGATTAAATCTGATTCAAAATGACCAAATAATTGTGAAGATATCAGCTATCAAATGACTTCACATGAATAACACCATTCTTCTTCTTCTAGCCAGCTTTTTGCTGCTGAGCTGTGAGCTCTTTTGCAGACTGTGCCATAGTGTGCTGTTTTCTTCAGTATACCACCCAGTTGTTGATGTTTATTAGAAAAAAGGGACATTGACCAAATACCTATGTGCTACATTGCACATGATCCTATATAATGTATTCATAAAACATAATTATATTTAAAGTTGTATAACATTAATGTCCTTAAATAAATTTAAAAAAAAAAAACAACATAAAATATGATTAAATTAGGTCATAAAACATAAAAATGTGATTATATCAGGCCATAAAACAGATATGATTATAACACCAGGTCATAAAACATAAATATGATTACATCAGGTCATAAAACATAGACATGATTATTATATCAGGTCATAAAACAAAAATATGATTAAACATCAAAGCAAATGTAAATCTGATTGAAAAATACAAATAAAAATGGCATATGACATGTATGTATAAAATAAATAAAATAAACCCTGCTTACATGTTAATTATTTTGTAGATTTCCTAAAAAGACAGACAAAAATAGAATTTATGTTAGACCTTCATTCTAAAACTGAATGAATAAAATTAATTGCCATCATTTTTCTTTTATACGTATAATAAAAATGTAAATCATTTTAAAAAATTTGATTCTTAAAAAATTTAAAGGACAATGCTTCCTGAGTCCTGATGAAATCTTTCTCTAAATAGCTCACATATATTTGCAAACTAAAACTCTATGGCCATATTACAAGCTCTTTGGGGCTCGCAAAGACCTTCCTTTAGGGAACAGTACCAGGAAAAAGAAGAAGAGACAGATAGGAAGACTGGACAGGCCTGCTGTTGAAAGAGATTCTATTCAAAGCTAAAGACAGAAAGGAATGGAGAAAGACTGTCAAAAAATCTTGCGTGGTGCCCCAAACTGTCTAACGGTAGGTGAAGGAAGGAGTGATGATTGCAAGGGAAACAAATCCTTGATAGCAAGCCCAAGACAGCCCTGTAAGCATATAACCTTCCTCAGCATCTAGCAGAATTAGCCATACTCTTTGATAACAATGATTTTAAAAAAAGGCCATTATGGGAAATGATGGCTTATGTTTAACTTTAAGACAAAAGATTGCCTCCCCCCCCCCCCCCTTTTAAAGCAACAATGCAATCCTTTAGTATGACCAGCACTACCTCGTTGGTTGAATACTAAACCTTAACATTATTATTTCAATTTTCTTAAGAGAAAATGTGTTTCTACTTTTACCTCTAGCATAATTGAAGACTCTTATATTTTCCCAGTTTGTGTAATAATGTGAAGTGTCATTGGCACCTTGAAATGAAACACAAAGATACTGAAGACTATTCAAGAAATAGAAAGTGACAATTAATAGTTTGCAACATTCTTAACCTAATAGAGTTAGCATTGACATTTTGTTCTGGAAAATACTATTGAGGTGCTAAGAAAAACCCTTACAGTAGATGACAGGCACAGAGGAAGCTATAAACATAAAAGTAAGGCTATATAAAAGCTATTTATTTTTATGACATAAAGAAAACTTTAATAGACCCCCAGCGGACAATAGTTTTGTCTGCATTGGATGTGGAAAAATATGCAGGTTGGAAAACAAGGTGAAACAGTACACGCAACTAATTCTTTAGAATTGAAGATATTGCCATTAACTTATGAAAAAACAAATGGGGGATGAGGAGTGAAGATATGCTACACACCAATATTTGATTTCACCCAATTAAACTAGTGTACAATGCTTACATGGCACTACTGACTGATATAGACTAAGTTTAAGTATTATTTATAAGAATTATAATGTAATTATTCAATGATGAATTCTTAGAAATTAAATAACTACAAGACTAGGAAAAAAAAAGCTATTTTAAAGATAAATATGAGAAATCAATGCTGGTTAATAAAGTGGGAGGTAAAACTATATTTCTCGGTGAAAGTTCCGCCACACACTGCACAGCACCATGGGTCCTCTGGCGAGTGCAGACCTATATGCATGAGGTACATGGCCCGTTGGAAAAACATGATGTCACAGTGGTCGCACAGAAATGTGGCCTGGGTCTGGCCCTCTTTATTGTGAGAGCTGCTGGCGGCACTTGAGCTGCTGCATGGATGATGCTCATCAGAGTCATTGGTTTTAGAAAGTGAGGGCGCTGGCCTATCTGATGGATGGGTAGACTCCTGCAGGCCTGCCTGCCCCTCTGATACACTGGAGTGGGGTCTTTTTCTGTTAGGCTTTTGTGAGAAATTGGAAGAGAATGTTTCGGAAGAAGATTTATCTCTTGCAGATAAAGCTGAGCTGTTTGTAGCAGGGAAGTGCTCTGCCTGTAAGGGATAGTCTTCTCCATTGTTACTGTCCTTGGCAAATTCTGTATGCGAATTACCCAAAGTCTTTGCGAATGTTATTGAGGGAAAAGAAAGAG